CCTTGCACAGCAGCTTCACGCCTCTATCGCTCAGCTCTTTGTTCCCACCCAGGTCCAGCTCCATCAGGGTGGTTTTTGCTCTGAGGACAGGGGCGAGAGCCCTGCAGCAGGCACCTGTGAGTTGACACTGATCAAACCTGCAAAGAGACAGGCAGAGAGGAGCCACAGGGCTCAGCGCAGCTTCCCTGACCCAAGGAAGCACCGGCCGACTGCTCTCCGAGATGGCCACCACTGAAAACGTCCAGAAACTGGGTTGCTCTTCAGGGATGGCCCCCGGGAAGCACGAGAACAGCCTGTCCCGCCGTGCCACACGTCGCAGTGGAGTGGGGTTATCCTCCCGGCGCAGCAGGAAGTCCTGGCTGGCTGGCACCAGCAACCTGCCCTCAACAACTCCGCTAAGATGCAACTCTCACCCCGTGCGGTAAAAAGACTGGAGTTTGCTTGTTTTCCCTTTTGGCCTGACAGGAAAGAGCTATTACCTTAATGTCTTTAATTCACAGCCTGACTTTTCCAAGGCTTGGCAAAGCAGGTGGATGGGTGACTCCTTTCCCTCCTCCTGCTGTTTTTCCCTAAAAACAAAGAAGAGATGCTTTGAATGTTGCTCCTTGGCCACCGATTGCATTTCGAGTTCACGGCTGTAGAAGTAGCCCCTTGCACCTGTGGCAAGGCCCTACAGGTGGCTTCTGGCAGAGTCGCAGCCAGCAGCGCTGCCGGGTCGTTCAGCTCAGGCTGTCGGGTGCGGCAGCGTCTCTCAGCTGGGCGCGCAATGGGTACTGCACAGCTCTGCCCCAGAAGGATATAGAGGTGCCTGCGCCAACCCCTGCCCTGCCCGGGGCTTTCCCTGCCTCAAGTGCTACCTGGTGCCGACACACCAGGAGGGGAGGAAAAGGAGCAGGCAGCCCCGCATCACCGAGGGCGCACGGCAGGCAGCTTTGAACAGTGTGAGCTCCTCCCCCGAACTGCTATGGGAAAGAGGTTAGCACCAAGAAACCGAAGATTGTGGCTGATTTCGTTGCCTTGCTGTGCACAGAGAGTCCGGTGTTTGTGCTGCTTGCAGGAAGACTCTCTGACCCGGAAATCCCTGCCCCTCGGAAGAACCCC